TCAGTACACAGCCCCTCTCCCTTTCTGTGTCTAAACTCTCCAGCTGCTCCATTTCTCCACATCATCGTCTCTGCCTCCATTTCAGGCATCACTGCTTCTCTGGGTAGGGTCTTACTCTCCGCTCTTCTCCCTTGATGGTCCCAGGGACCTCTGCTCCTAGGCTGAAAAGTTAATCACTCCCCTCCTTGCTGCAAAATGTCTACCTTTACAATTCCAACCCTCATAATCAGTCCTGATAACAATTATTCACTATTGTATCACAAGAGACCCATTTGCACTTCCTTTCATCAGCCCTGCCTAGACAGATTGGATACTACTCAGTGGAGATTCTACCTTCCTCCAGGCCCTCTGAATCTAGGTTCCCTCTTGAAAGCTTGTAAGCCAGTCACTTCTTGCCTTTGTAGCCCCCTCCCCCCTTTTTGGGTAGCCAATGTCCATTGATCAAACTTCTTTTATTAAATCTTTGGTCAAAAGGTTCAACATTTAATTCATCTTTTCTTCTGGCAAAAGGAGATAGTTGTTCATGGAAGTAATTAGCCACCTATTCCATATCTTCCTCCTATTCCTGACTCTCCTTTTTACTCTGTTGCTCTACATAGGGTTTCCATTAGCGAATTTTTGGAAGTAGCTCATCAGGTCCTTCTTCCTTGTCTGTCTTAGTCTGGAAGCTCTGCTGAAACTTGTCCACCATAGATGACCTTGGTGGTATTGAATACCGGTAATATAGCAACATGCAAGCCACACACTGACAGATGGGTGGTGGATTACTTGTTAATAACACTTGAACCAAAAAGTGTTATTATACATTTATATTTTTTAAAGTACCGTCTGTTTGCGTCTCCAGGGAAAGCACATGGGTCTGGACTGAGGAGTAGAAAACATGTTCTCTGTAGAAGGCTGTGTCCCTGGGTAAGACCTGATTGAAAGCTTCCAGGGGACCAGCCGTCCCAAGATCTATCAGCCCAACTCGATAACACTTATCGTTCCTAAGTGCGCCGACACAGGCTTGCCACAACCAGGCTCTTTAGATTTCATTCCATTGCTTGATTTGATATGTTCACGGAACACTTCTGAACACCTGTGGACTGCATTAGAGAAGCTCTTCCTGGTACCCCTCGAAGCAAGGCACCCCATGCCGAGTGCCAGGCAGGACTAATGGCAAGGTAAACGCTGTTGTCTAATCTTTCTGCCAGGCTGATCTGGCACGGTGAGATTACAGGCGTCCCTGCTGGCAACCACAGTCAGAACTCAGGGAGGGTACATGGCCCTGGAGTCAGGTCAAGGAACTGGTAGAATGACGTCTCTGAGCCCCCTGGAATGGAGTTGCAGCCTCCGTGGACTCCTCAACACCTATCTAACTCCTGGACAGAGAAACCAGGTGGGTGTATGTGGCACAGAAGCTGCCAAGATCCAGTGTCTAGTCCTGCCCATGTCTCTTCTTGGTTATGTGAACTTGTGCCAGTCACTTAATCCCACTAAACTGTATTCATGAGGATGATGCAGGAATCATCATTATTTTTCTTTAAAAAATCACGTATTTCAAAGCATTCAGAAAATCACAAAGAACACAACTGAAGAGCGAGCATTGTATTGGTTGTTGTTGTTGTTGTTGTTAAGTGCCGTCGAGTCGGGTCCGACCCATAGCGACCCTGTACAGGGTTTCCGAGGGTGTAAATCCTTACGGGAGTAGAAAGCCTCATCTTTCTCCCGCGGAGCGGCTGGTAGTTTCGAACCGCTGACCTTAAGGTTCGCAGCCCGATTCGTAACCACTACGCTACCAGAGCTCCTTTTGTATTGTATTGGTGGAGGTTTGCAAATCACAGACCAATGATGGCAACCTCTTCCTTCAGACAGCACTCTCATTGTCTGGGCAGAAAACCACATTGCAAGGCACCAAAATGCCCTCAAATGAGAAAGGGTCTGAGGTAGTCAGGTGGGTCTTTGTGGAATTTTCCAAGAGGTTTCTAGCCATGCATTAGTTTTCAATTGCTGAATAACAAAGTTACTGACTCAGAACAATGAACACTTACAATCTCTCAGTGTCTGTAGGTCAGAAATCTGGCCTCTGTTTAGCTGGGTCCTCTGTTTTAGGCAGTCTTGCTAGACTGTGACCAAGATGTCAGTCAGGACTGTGGTCTCCTCTGAGGCTTACCTGGGAAAGGCTCAACTTCCAAGCACACACAGTGTTTGACAGGATTCAGTTCCTTGCAGGTTGTTGGGCTGAGGGCCTCAGTTCCTTTGGGGCAATTGGTCAGAAGCCCCCCACAGTTCCTTGCCATGTGGGCCCCTCCATAGCACAACCAACTTCATCAAATTCAGCAGGGGTGGGGAGTCTATACTGAGAGTCTGCTTGCAAGATGGGAATTAAATTCACAAGCAAGATGGAAATAGGTCAGCCTTCAAGGAGCTTGTGGTTGACTCCAGAGAAGGCAGAAGGGAGGCCACTTGTCCTTCCCACCTGGGTAGATTGGGTCACACGTAGGGGAAGCCCTTGAGTTGATGAAGAGAATTCTTTCCATGGTGAGGAAGGCTGACATGGCACCATTTTGGGATACCAACTCACGGCATATGATGGGCAGGCTTTGGGATTATTCCCAATTATCCTTGCCTCCTAGAATTCATACTCCATGGGACCTCCTACCCTTGAGTTTGGGCAGGACCTGTGACTTGTGTCTAATCAACAGAATACAGTAAGTGTGCCTCTTTGACTCTGTGTCTCTTCTCTTTTTATAGGAACACCATTCAAATTGGGTTATGACCCACTATTCAATAGTATGACCTCTGATTAATTGAACTGATCACATCGTCAAAGATCCTATTTCCAAACAAGGTCATGTTGGCAGGTACATGGGTTAAAACTTCATCACATCTTTTCTGGGAATGCAATTCAGTCCTCCACAGCCCTATTCATGTTGTTATTGTTGTTGTTAAGTGCCATTGAGTCGGTTCCGACCCATAGCGACCTTGTATAAGGTTTCCAAGGAACAGCTGGTGAGCTTGAACCACCAGCCTTGCAGTTCAAACCAACCTTGCAATCCAATGCATTAACCCGCAGCGCCACGCCAGGACTACTATTCATGGAGTCATACAAATATAACCTTCTGAGTCTGGCCTCTTTAGCTCAGCATAAGACTTTTGAAGTCCATCCACACTGCTTCATGTATCAGTATTCATTCTTTTTCAATGCTGCATAGTACTCCATTATGTGGGTGTACAACCACTTGTTTCTTCAGTGGCCAGACGGAGGACATTAAGATTACTTCCATTTTTGGGCAATTCTGAATCAAGCTACTTGGGATACAAGTCTTCATGTGCATTTCTTCTGGCTAAACACCCAGGAGAGGGATTGCTGGGTCAATTGGTAAGTGTGTGCCTACCTTTAGAAGAAACTGTTCAACTGTTTTCCAAAGGGGCTGTGCATCTTGCTTTCCCACCAGCAGTGTGGAGCATTTCCAATGACTCAGTGGTCTCATCAGCACTGACGTGGGCAGCTTTTCTTCTTTTAGCCACTGTGATCCTCACAACAATCCTACAACATTGGTGGTGCTAATATCCCCATTTTAGAGATGCAGAAGTTGAACCTCCCAGAACTGGGTCTTATTCAGAGGCAAGACTGGGATTCTAACTCAGACTCTGAAGCCAGGGTATTTCATAAGTCTTCCAGTGTCTCTGGCAAACCCCCAGTCAATGGAGTGATGACCACAAACAAGGTGAGACAAGCTCTCTGTGCCTCGGTTTCCTCATCTGTAAAATGGGGATGCTGTTGCTGTTGTTAAGTTCTGGTGAGTAGTTTCCGACTCATAGCGACCCTGTAGAGAGTTTCCAAGGAGCAACTAGTGGGTTTGAACTGTTGACCTTGTGGTTAGCAGTCTGTTGCTTATCCTACAGTGCCACACCAGAACTCCAAAATGGGAGTTCAAAACAAAAGCAAAGACCTGATTTCAGAACAAGACCCTCAGATGGGGACTTCCCGTCTCTACCAAGTAAGCATCCCCCATCCATATACAATTCCTCAGTGGATGTTCTCACCCTACCTTGGCCACTGAACAGAATCTCACAAAGTAGAGAATCCATGGGGTTAGTAAGAATTCTCTTAAAAAGAGCTCTTTCTAAGTGATTCACACACTAGTATGAATTTGTCTGCCTTGGTAGTTTTGCTCCATTGCGGTTGGTGTTCAAGTTTGAAACATGGAGTAACTGCAGGAGTCCAATCCAGGTGGGATCCCAAATGTGGAGGTTCTGAACAGCCTTTGAAAGTAGGAGTGGGGCAGAGGGGAGAGAAGGGGTACAGAAAGAGAGGGTACAGTTTACAAAGCTAAGCCTGGCCTCCTTACAAGCTTGCTTCTTCCAGGAAGAGGAGAGAGCATTCTTCTGCCAGCCTGTCTCTTCTTCATCTGTACTCCATCCACCTCATTCCAGGGACTCATCCCCTCAGAATAACATCCCCAGAAGGAAATAGGTCTGGTGTCCCAAACAACTGACTTATGAACGTGCTTTGGGTTGGCTACTACACAACCCATTGCTAAATTAGGGAGCAACTCTCCAAGACCCCCCAGCTATCTGTTGCTGGGACAGATCAGGATCCATTCAGCTCCTTTGACATGTTCAGTTGAACACAGCAGATGTGTTAGGTGCAGTTTAGACCAATTTTGTCGAAATATGTGGCTTGTAAAGTTTGAATGCACACCTTTTTCATTAAGAACTAAGTCATGCTCAATCACTCTCTTTCTCTCGCTGTAGGTCCATTCCAACCATGGGACGTGGTTACAGTGGAAAGCTACTCGGCTGGAAACTTCTCAGAACAGGCTCCTGGGGGGGGGAGGGGGGACAATCTTATCGGGAACTTTTCTGTTTGGCGGCAAGGATAAGGGGTGGCATTTGGGGTCTGATAAGGACTGATTAAGGAGGGCTCATGCCATATAAAAGGCACAGCGCAGCCTGGTTCTCTACAGCTTCCATCCCTCTAGCCTTCTCCGGTGATTCGGGACTCAGGAAGAATCATGAAGTGGCTGCTGCTTCTCAGCTTGGTGGCACTCTCTGAGTGCATCTACAAGTGAGTCAAGGACACGGAGCCAAGAACAGGTTCTTGGGGGGGTTTCTGAGCCCCTGCGCTCTCTCTGGTGGTGCAGTTGTTAAAGTACTCACTGCTAACAGAAAGGTTGGCTGTAGTATAGACACACCAACCACTCCACAGGAGAAAGATGGGGCAGTCTGACACTCGTGGGGCAGTTCTCCTCTGTCCTAGAGGGTCCATAGGAGTGGATCATTCACAGCAGGGGGATTGGGTTTCTTTGCTCCCATTTTTCTTCCTCCTCTCTCTTCCTCTGTCTGGAGTCTTCCTTTTGGGGCTCTCTCTCTGCACCTTTGGGGAGGCCCACCCTTGGGCGCAGCCAAGGCTTGAGTTTTCAGCCCCATCACTAGCCAGTGGGTTGTCTTCAGACAAGGCACTGAATCTCTTCACCTGTAAGCAGGGAGAAGGATATAAACATGCCTCAACTATTAACCTAAAGGCTGGCGGTTTGAACTCACTTAGAAGTGGTGTGGAAGAAATGCCTGGCAGTGTGCTTCTGTAAAGACTGTTGTTAAGTGCCATGGGGTTGGTTCTGATCTATAGCGACCCTGTATAGGGTTTCCGAGGAGCAGCCGGTGAGCTTTAATGGCCGACCTTGCAATTCAAACCGAGCTTGTAGTCCAGCGCATTAACCCATAGTGCCACACCAGGACTCCTTTACAGCCAACAAAATCCTATGAAGCACAGCTCTACTCCGATGCACTTGGGACTGCCATGAGTCAGAATCGACTCGATGGCAGCGGGGTACACTCATCAGGGTTGTTGCAAAGATGAAGTAAAATACTGGTGCCAGATGCAAAAAGTGGGAGTTTTTCTCCTCTTCCTTCCTTCTCCTCCCCTCAGCCAGTTTTCATTTCCTCCTGGGGTTCAGGAGCAGAATCCTTGCCCTAAATATTCTCCTCACACGAGCCATGCTCTGCCTAGGGTCCCCCTCGTCAAGAAGAAGTCCCTGAGACAGAACCTGATCGAGAATGGACTATTGGAGGACTTCCTGAAGAAGAATAGCCTCAACCCAGCCAGCAAGTACTTCCCCCAGGAGGCCACCATGCTGTCCACCCAGCCCCTGGTGAACTACATGGACGTGAGTGTGGGCCACACCAGGGACTTGGTCAGGAGGAGCCAGGGTGGCCTTGGGCTCTGGGAGGATGAGTCAGGGTCTGAGTCACTAGCTGATCCCTCTGGGGATTGCACCCTGGAGCTCAGTGCATTCCAGAACAGCTGCTTTCATTCATTCGTTCATGCATATGGATGTTGAGCACTTTATTCATGGAACTCACCATTGAGGAGGGGAGAAAGAACCAAAGCATGATTCAGCCAGGGTGAGAATGGCAATGTGAGAGCCTAGCCTGTAGGAGGGGGATATGGTGGTGAGCTAGGAGACCCCTCTGGAACAAAGGAGAAGGAGCAGGACGATTACAGAAAGCAGGGGCTGGAACCAAAGCAGGAGGGAGCGGAGTGCATTTGAGGAGAGCAGGCAGAGCAGGGAGGCAGGGAAGGTACGCAAAGTGAGGCCCGAGGGGTCCCAGGACCTGACTAGGGATAGCTGATAGTCTGAGTTCTAATTACCAAAGAGGGGAGTTGGCAAGATCAGATGTGGATCTCAGGAAGATCGCTGTGGTTGCTCTATTTGGTGACTCATGGACAAGGTCCTGTATTTCAGTAGACACTGTATCCCGCCTCCATGAGTGGCTGAGGGCCAAGGGGACCAGCAGTCCTGGTGGTCAAAGAATTGACCTCAGAAAAATTTGGGCTCAAATGTGTCTAAGCCATGTGACTTTGGGCAAGTCACTGGAATTCCCTGAGCCTCAGTTTTCTGGTCTGTAAAACAGAACCATTATTACCTACCCTACTACCTGGTGCAGTGATTAAGTGCTTGGCTGCTAACACAAAGGTAAATGGTTCAAACCCATAGCTGTTCTGTGTAAGAAAGATGTGGGGTCTGCGTCCGTAAAGATTTGCAACCTTGGAAATTCTACGGGCCCAGTCAGCTCTGTCTCATAGGATTACTATAAATCACAATCAACTAGAGAGAAACAGCAACTAGGTACCACCCAAGGGTTCATTGGTGGCCCTGGAGTCAGTTCCAACTCACAGTGACCATGCATAGGTAATAAATCTTTACGGGAGCAGAAAACCTCATGTAAACTGCTGACCTTGTGGGTAGCAGCCCAACTTGTAACTCACTACGCTACCGACGCATAGCAACCTTATGCACAGCAGAAAGAAACACTGGCCAATCCTGGGCCAACCTCACTACTGTTGCCACGCTCTTAGAGAGTTGATTAATGAGTAATTGCTACAATAACGCTGTAGAGCTCTTAGCTCAGGGCCTGGCCCTTGGTAAGAGCTTAGTAAACATTAGCCCATTTATTCATTCTACAAATAGTTATGAAGCATCTACTATGTTCAAGGGATTGAGGATACAGTGGTAGATAAGCAAAGGTCTTGGAGCTGATATTCTAGAGAGGAAGACAAATACACAATCATGTAAAATAACTTGGAGCATCTTTGGTGCTGTAAATGATTAAGCACTTGACTACTAGCCGAAGGATGGTGGTTCAAAACAACCCAGAGTTGCCTTGGAAGTCAGGCCTGGTAACTTGCTTCTGAAAGGTCACAGACTTACAAATTCTAGGGAGCATTTGTAAGTCAGGGGTCACCACAGGTCAGATGGCAACTAACAGTAGCAAGAAGATAAAAGCAGACAATGACAAGTACCAAGAAGAACAATTAATTCATTAGAGTAAGGGGAAGCAGAGTGTTGGGGAGAGGAGAGCAATTTTAGAGAAAGTGATCAGAGAAGGCTTCCTGGAGGAGGTGACATTTGATGATGGAGCTGAATAACTGAGGCAAAGGGGTCAGCCAAGGAAAGATCTAAACATTTTCCAAGTGTGAGGAGTGTCAGATGCATAAATTCCTCTGGTATGGAAATAAATTTGTCATCTTCAAAGAGTAGCAAAATCAGTGTGGTTGGAACAGAAATGGCCAAGGAAAAGAGTCTCCACTTAGAGTCAATATGATGACCATGCCCTTTCTCAAGACCTGCCTTGTTGCTGATGTTGTTGTTGTTGTTAAGTGCCATTGAGTCAGTTCAAGTCATAGCGATCCTGCATGGAGTTTCCAAAGAGCAGCTGGTGAGTTTGAACCACCAATCTTGTGGTTCAAACCGACTTTGTGGTCTAGTGCTTTACCCACAGCACCACACCAGGATTCCAAGACCTGCCGTAGGCACCTAGATTTAGAAATAAGGTAGTTGGATGAATTTTCATCTTTAGGTGACTATCTTTAGCTCCTGATCAATACTTTGATGGACAAGCATTTAGTCATTCATTTATCTTGGTCACACTCATCCTCTGAGAACATGTGGTCTCTACGAAGACAAGACAGCTGAATGAGGGGAAGCTGGTTCCTATTAGATGCTTTTAACCAAAAGGCTGGCTGTTTGAATCCAACCAGAGGTGACTCCGAAGAAAAGCCTGGTAATCTGGTTCCCATAAAGAGTTGCTGAAAACCTTATGGAACACAGTTCTGCTCTGACATACATGGGTTTTCCATGAGTCATAACAGACTAGATGCCAACTGTTTTTTGTTGTATGTTTTACATTATTACTATTAGATGCTATTAGATGCCTGAGGTCCCTACATGGTACAAACAGTTTGCAATGGTGAACCTAAAGGTTGGGGATTTGAACCCAGGCAGTAGTACCATTGAAGACAGATCTGGCCATCTGCTCCCAATTAGATTTCAGCCAAGCAAGCACTACAGTTGTACTGTGTAATACACGAGGTCATCATGAGTCAGAACCAACTCAATGATAACAGCAGTATGGTGATGGAGGGCCATCAGAGAAGACTTGAAGGAGGAAGGGAGATCAGGGCTGGGTCTTGAAGGATGGCTGCATCGGAGAGAGAGGGAACAGCAAAGAGAAAGGCAGGGAGGTGGACAGGGGAGTGGTCATCTCTCCCAGGCCATGAACTGTACTGTTCTTGCCCCGGCAGACGGAATACTTTGGCACCATCAGCATCGGAACACCCCCTCAGGAGTTCACCGTCATCTTTGATACTGGCTCCTCCAATCTGTGGGTGCCCTCCGTCTACTGCTCCAGCCCCGCCTGCAGTAAGTGCCCACAACCCTCAGAGCTTCAGATCAGTGTAGACTCCAAGCCTGTGAAGTCATTCAGGGATTCATTTACCGAGCACGAGCACGACTACATGCCCGGCACTGGGCACTTTCTCTGGGAGAAAAAGGGTGGATGGGACGTGGTCCGTGCCCTCAGGGAGCCCCTGAGAGAAGGGCACAGAGTCCAAACTGAGGCTCACAGGTTTCAGGAAAGCCAGCTGAGGTGTGAATCTGGCATGAGACCATGCAAATTAGAGATCATGGTACCATCCATTGAAAAAAACAAACACTGATATTAAAAGCAAATTACAGACAGGCTTCAAGTTCCTGTCTCGTCCAGGTGAATCTGAGTTCTAACTGAGAGATGTGTCCTTGCAACCTGCCCCCCCTTACACCTGGAATGTAGGAATGAAGGCTCATCCCATGGTATTTCTCTTTACCTGGGGGTCTTCTTTTGGAAGACCATGGAGTGGCTGGGACCTTCCATCAGTGAGATGGTACCAATTGGTCCAACCAGACAGGAATGGAACCTGGGGCTCCTGGGCTCCAGAGATCTAGAGGAAAGCTCCCCTTTCTCCTCCAAAGCCCCTCTAAGCAAAGCCACCCCCAGGTAGACTTCTCAGGCCTAAGACCCTCACTTGGCTGCTGAAGGTTGACCATGACCTTGTTGTCCTTGCAGCCAACCACAAACGCTTCAACCCTCAGAAGTCCTCCACCTACAAGGCCACCAGCCAGACCGTGTCCATCGCCTATGGCACTGGCAGTATGACAGGGATCCTTGGCTATGACACTGTCCAGGTGAGCACCTATCCTGGCCAGCCCTGGGGCTAGCAACAGATAACTCGAGGACCATAGCATGCCCCTTTCAAAACTAGCTCATTCAGGCAACGCAGGTCCCAGTGATCACTGAAGTAACCTGGTCACAGATATTTTGAGGTGGGGTGGTGGTAGGTGAGGGCGTAGGGTGCCTGAAGCCATAAGCCTACCTCAGCCCCATCAAACTAAATGCTCTGGGTGGGTGGAATCAAGTAGGTGAAGACTCCATTCTCTCTTAGCACCTCTTCCTCATTCTCCTCCCCCTGAGGCAGAAAAGCTGCACAAAGCACACCCCCTCCTCACTCCCAGGGTGCATTTGGGGTAGAGGGTCTGCTTTGCATCTGTTCATCAGGATCACAGATGTTCAGGGACTGTGTGCAGAGAAATCTCACACCCAAGTCACAGGGACAATTCCTCTCACACTTTCTACCCACAAGTCTAAAGAAGGGACCTTCTAGCCAAATATGATCAGAAGCTGAGTCCACCATGAAACGAACAAGGACACGCTACGTCCATGGCTGGCTCTCAGCCATGCTAGGGGAACACTGGCTGACCAAAGACATCTTGGTTTCCCCACTCAGGTTGCAGGCATCGCTGACACCAACCAGATCTTCGGCCTGAGCCAGACAGAACCTGGCTCCTTCCTGTACTACTGTCCCTTTGACGGCATCCTGGGTCTGGCCTACCCTGACATTTCTTCCTCCGGAGCCACACCTGTCTTTGACAACATGTGGAACCAAGGGCTCGTCTCCCAGGACCTCTTCTCTGTCTACCTGAGCTCGTAAGTTGGGTGGGGAGTGGCCTCCTGAGAGGTCATGGTTCCTTGCTCCAGCAGGGAGTAGTCCATGGCTAAGCAAGGTGGAGAGAGTCTTGGAAAGAAAGGATCTGAAAGGCCAGCATCTACAGCTTGGAGGTGATGCTGCCAAATCTGTCTCTCGTGAACTGGCTTCAGTATGTCTTATCTGAGCAGCCAGAGCCTTTGTCACCTCAGCTTGTCATCTCAAATGCCATTAGCTGTTTACTCTCTAGTTCTCTCATCACTAACCTCCTTCAAGAAACCCCAGCTGCCGTTGAGTGTGGGTCAGAGCAGATCTGGCTCCAGAGAGTTTTCAATGGCTGATTTTTTTTTTTTTTTTTAGAAGTAGATCACCAGGCCTTTCTTCCAATGCACCTCTGGATAGACGCAAACCTCTAACCATTTGGCTACCAATCAAACACATGACCCATCTGCACCCTTGTTGACCCTTCCCCCCCCACACACACACACAAAGTCCCTTTAAAGTAAATCCCCTTAACATAGGAGCTCTGGTAGCGTAGTGATTACGAGGCAGGCTGCTAACCTCAAGGTCAGCAGTTCGAAACTTCCAGCCATTCCTGGGGAGAAAGATGAGGCTTTCTGCTCCTGTAAAGATTTACAGCCTCAGAAACCCTATAGAGGGTCGCTATGAATCGGAACTGACTTCATTGGCACATAACCACCATCACTTAACATAGGGGTCAAAATTTCATAGTAGAAAAGCAAAAGTCTTGATTGGAGCAATGAAACAAAAAAATGTTGAAAACAAATTTCACTGTTTACTATTTAACAAGATACAGACTCCAATTGTAACTACAAGCTATCTCCAAGAAGGAATAATCAGAGTTGGTTTTGGTTGGGTAGTTTTATTCCTAACAAAATGGGATGATAATGTAATAAAATATCCTCATCCTTGCAGCATAACCATGCCAAGAATTGGTTTTAATTCTCTGAGGGTCTCATCAATCTTCCCAAATCTTTTTTGTCCTCTGACACTCATATCTTTAATGGTTGCTATTTCCCTTCTTCAGTTGTTGGTTCTCCTAACTCTGCCAGAGCCTCATTGTTACATTGTATCATCAGATATTTACAGCCAAGAGAGGGTGGGACTAAGTGCTTAGGTTCCTGTTTTATAGTGTTTCCTTCTGCTGTGTGTAAGGTTGCTATGAGTCAGTATCAACTCCTCACGCAACTAACAACAACAACTTGCTTATTACCATCTATATTTGCTTCCCTGTCTAAACTGAAACTGCACAGATTTATAAAATGAATATTAAAGGGACCCTACAATTTACAACATGAAGGCCTTTTTCTCCTGCTTTTTTTCCTTGCTGTTATGTAGTATTAAGTTTGGTTCTTAAACATGAGATGCCTTTTCTGAGTACTTCTATATTTAATGTGGGGTCACATATCTCTCTCAGCACTATTGATATTTTGGGCCAAATAAGTCTCTACTGTGGGAGATATTTAGCAGCATCCTTGCCCCTCCACCCACTGAATGCTGGTAGCTTTCCCTTCCCCCAACCAGTTGTGACAATTAAAAATAACTCCAGACATTGGAAACTGTCTCCTGGGGGCAGAATTGCCCCTTGATGAGAATTGCTTTTACTTCTCTTGTGTTCCCCACTGGCACCTACAGTGAGTCCTGTGATGGGAACCGTCTACTCTGGAATCAGAAAGACCTGAGTTCTAATCTTGTTTCTGCCACTCCCCAGCTGTGTGACCTAGGCAAGTCGTCTCACTGCCTATCACAGAGCGAATTAGTACTAATGATGACTTTCACATTGGCCTCCATATAAGGATTAAAAGAAACATTCAGCACAGCTCCTGGGATGGGCTTGTTGTGAAGTGCCATCGAGTCAGTTCTGACTCATAGGGTTTCCGAGGAACGACTGATGAGTTTGAACTGCTGCCCTTGTGGTCCAGTGTATTATCCTGCACATTCTAGATGGTCAGTTTTACACATCGAATGGACAAAAGTCTAAACGAATTCCTTCTTCCCCCTTTTTCATAGCAATGACCAATCTGGCAGCGTGGTGATGTTTGGTGGTATCGATTCTTCCTACTACACTGGCAATCTCAACTGGGTACCTGTTTCTTCTGAGGGCTACTGGCAGATCACCGTGGACAGGTAAGACCACCAGGGATGGGTCACATCCTGACTTAGACTCCAGATCCCATTTCTTTATGGATTCAGGGCTAACTCGTTTTCCAGAACACCCCGGGACCGCCGGCACAGGAAAATGTACTCTGGGGGGAAAGAGGTGGGAGAAACAGAGAAAGGCTCCACTCTGAATGAGGGGATTGTCTGGGGACCCCCTGCAGGGATGGGACAGATCCCTCCTCCTGGTCAAAGAGGCAGGAGAATTCACTAACATTCCCGGGGAGCCAGCCTGTCCCCACATCTCACATCCAGGGACCTCCTTCGCTAGGAAGGCTGCCACTTACAGTCTAAGGAGATGGCAGCATATGTGAGAATTTGTTCCCTTCCACATCCCTCCCCTCCAGTAAGCACCGGTCCCCAGCCATTCGTGACCCAGGCCCAGGCAATTTCCCAAGAAGTGAGATTGTCAGAACTAAGCCAGCACAGTTCCAGGCAAAATGGGACAAGCTGGTCACTCTCTCTCTGCCACATCCATGCCGACACGCAACAGTTCTTGATCTCCCATCCCTGCCCCTCTTGTCACCACCATTCCCTGCCTGGGGTGCTCTTCGTCCAGCTCTTCCTCTCTTGCCCCACCTGCTGTGTCCCTGCCCCTGCCCAGCCACCTCTTTGTACCATGACATATCTGTCCAGCTGGACTGGGAGCCCCCTGCAGTCAGAAACAGTGTGGCTTTGTCTGGCTTATCTTTGCACCGCCCATGCCAGGCACACAGTAGGCGCTCAATATATATTTCTTGAATAAATGAATATACGGTGGGATAAGTGTGTAAGTAAGAGAAACCATGACGTTTTTTGGATGGTAGGTGGGACCCTCCAGGGTCACCGGGCTCCTCCTTGGGGAGACGTACTCTCCGTTGGTTCAGTTAACCCTCACTTGCATCCCTCCCTTAGCATCACCATGAACGGAGAGACCATCGCTTGCAGCGGGGGCTGCCAGGCCATTGTTGACACCGGTACCTCTCTGCTGTCCGGTCCATCCAATGCCATCGCTAGCATCCAGGGCTACATCGGAGCCAGCCAGGACTCAAATGGCCAGGTAAGTAAGTCCAGCCCTGACCACCTCCTTCTATACCCAAGTAGTAGGCCCACCATGCAGAAAGAATGAAAGGCTTCTAATTTGCCCGCCCCTTGTTCTTTCTAGATGGTGGTCAGCTGCTCGGCTATCAGCAACCTTCCCGACATCGTCTTCACCATCAATGGTGTTCAGTATCCTCTGCCCCCCAGTGCCTACATCCTGCAGGTAAGGGAAGTTTTGGCTACCTCCTTAGATGTGCCCACCCAGAGTATGGACACATAGTCAGCTTTTGCAAAGGGAAAATAAACTTCTCCAAGCTGAAGTCAGGAGGCAAACTTACATTTACTCTGGGTAGCCTTCAGAGAAAAATGAATTTATTAAAAAAAAAAAAAAGGCATGGATGAGAATTCAGATGCAGTCCCCCATTCTGCTCCCGCCAAGGAAAAAAAAAAAATGAGGCAAAGGATGATGGTGTGGAAAGAAGGTCTTGAGTTGTACACCTGAGTCCAAGCCCTGGGTCTCAATTGTAGCCCATTGTGTCTGAGTAAGTTCCAACCTCTCTGAAGCTCAGTTTCCTCATCTATAAACTAGAGCTGTCAGCTTTCCCCACCTCAGAATGTGGTTGGGATCACCAAGTACAACTGCACCATCCTTTTGCCTACAAAAGGATAGGCAAATGGCAGTCGTAATTTCCTTGAGTCAGGACAGAAGATCCTCCTCCAAAACCCAACCCAACCCATTGCTGTAGAGTCAAATTCGACTCATAGCGACCTTATTGGACACAGTTAGAACTGCACCCTCGGGTGTTGTAAATCTTCACCAAAGCAGACAGCCTCAACTTTCTCCTGTGGAGAAACCTTTTGGTTGACAGCTGAGCATTTAACCGCTGCAGTACCAGGGCCCTCAAAGACCCTATGATCTTCCTCCAGTTATCACGGAGTTAATTCCAGTTCATGGCAGCTCTAGGTGTGTCCGAGTAGAACTGCACTCCCTAGGGTTCTCAATGGCTGAACTTTTGGAAGTATGTCTTTTTTCCAGTGGACCTCTGGGTGCACTATTACTCCAACGTTTCAGCTAACCATCAAGTGCACTAACCATCTGCACCACTAGGAGGCACCGCTACCATCCCTACAAGGAAAAGACCTTTAGTCAGAGTAGCCTTCTGCTGTCTACCGGTGAAGCTAGGTGAAAGTCCAGTTGTGCCCAGTGATGCCCAGGCCCCTCCCTCCAACATTCTGATTTCATTCATGGGGGTAAGGCCTGAGCAAGAGAGCTTTCAAAACTCCGCTGGTAATCGTAACGTGTAACCCTGGTTGTAGCCCAGTGACCCAGTGACTAACATCAGATCCCAGCTGGTCTGCTTTGTCACTGGATGAGGTCTGGATAATGAGAAGAAGCTGCTCAAGAAGTTTCCAGAACTCTTCTGCAGCAGCTGAGCTCTCCCTGAGCCCCTTAACTGATGTCAGGGCTGGTGTGTTTGCCAGAAATACCGGATAAAATCCAGTAATCCCTGGGAGCCAGTAGTGTAGTGAACAGCTCACACAGGCAGACCTCAGGCCAAGAACAGCAAAGTCCCCGGACACCGAGCCAGGAAGCTCCTCCTCGCAGCCAGCCCAAACGCCTGTCACTGTTGGTCTGTGTCCTCTCTCTGATTTCGTTCTCCTGTTTTCCAGAACCAGCAGTATTGCACCAGCGGTTTCCAGGGCATGAACATCCCCACCTCCTCCGGGGAGCTTTGGATCCTGGGTGATGTCTTCATTCGTCAGTACTTTGCCGTCTTCGACAGGGCCAACAATCAGGTCGGCCTGGCCCCTGTGGCTTAAGTATGAGCTTTTCCAGCCACGCCCTTCAGTCCTGCACCCACTCTAGATGTACATAATTCTCCTAGTTGTCTTCCTCCGGGATTGCGGAGGTAGATTCTAGACCCTGTTCCCTGCCAATAATGTAGAATAAAAGTATAACCAACTAAAAAATGTTTTGTGGTGTTTCTTCTCTTCGTTGGTATTTCTCCTTCATATCTCTGGAGTCAGAACACTAGGGCAGGGGGACAGAAATGACCACGTCCACCCAGATAGCACCTGGCATAACAGACACTTGGTACTGCAGCCAAAAAGACAAGTGGGGCTCACAATGGAGGCCCCATTAACCCTCCAAAGGATAGGGCAACTGAACTCTTGGTTGAAGGGGCTGACTTCTTAGTTCACCCAAATTCATGAGATGATGAAGAACAGAATGTTTCAGGACACTGATGGTTGATGTTCCCAAGTAGGTAGAACAAGGTGGTCTTGTCCATAAGTCATGGGTAGGTGAGATAACGGAAGTCGGTACCACACTGTCTACCAAGCTGAATCTGTGATTAGTCCATTGATCAAGACCAACAATGGCGGAGCTCCCAACATCGCCACCATCTACCAGTGTGTTGCTGGGATGCTGGAAGCTCTGTCACTGGTATGTCAAATACCAGTAGGGTCACCTTTGGTGGACAGGTTGTAGTGGAGCATATTCACTAAGACAGACTAAGAAGAAAGGCTTAGAAATCGACTTGTGAAAATCAGCCAATGAAAACTATGGCTCTCAACAGAACACTGTGTGATATAGTACTAGAAGATGAGCTCTTCTAGAGGGAAGGCCCTCCACAAGAGCCAAAATCACCAACTCAAACATATCAGTGACCGTGAAGATGGTTCAGGACCGAGTGAGGTTTCACTGGGTTCAAACTAAGGTCACGGGGAGTTAGCATCCACTTGACTGCAGCAACTAACACCCAACAGTCTGATGGGTCTGTGTCCCCATCTGTAATTTATGAGGATGGTTTTCCACTTCTCCAAGAAGAGGTCATCCGAGAGAGAATGGAGCACAGACACCCTAGAAATATACACAGGGGCCCTTCAGAGCAGCGTTTCACAGCATGGGTTTGTAGCCTAATGTTCAATGAAAATCAAAGTTTTGAAGGAAGTATGGAACATGCTCTATTCTAGGCCTTTCTTGAAGCTTTTATGAAGCATATTTCTCCCATCAAAGGCTCTGAGAATTCCTGCCCCAATGTGACCTGTTTCACTTTAACTCAGCTCACTCTCTATTCCTCATTTTCTAGTAAACTCATTACACAGTTCTGTGCTCCCCAAACTCTCTCAGCTCCTACCTCTGCCAACAGCTGGAGACACTGGAGCCAGCCTCCCTACTGAGAGGGAATGATTTGGGGTGCCCATAGCAAGATGGCTTTAGAGACCCTCCTGTCACATTATTCCCCATTTGTAATGTATCACTCACACAATATAAGATGATGGCTCTAAGAAGGCTGAGAGGGTGAGCTTGATCACCCAGTCTGTGGGTCTCCCCGGTGACACCACCCAGTGACCCAGGTTTCCCTGATGTGATCACCAAGTCTCCGGTCTCCCCGGTGATATCACCAGTGCCCCAGGTCTCCCCGATGTTACCAGTGGACCTCTTCCAATCATTTGGCCACATAGCTGTCTTCCGAATTTCTTGACACAGATGAATGAGTGCCTCCAGTTCTGCATCAGTTTGCTGAAAGATTCTAATCAGTAGTCCGTCAATTCCTGGAACCTTGTTTATTGCCTTTGCCTTTAATGCTGCTTGAGTTTATTCCTTCAAAATATACGTTGTTGATCACATAGTATCTCTTGAAATGATTGATCAATGCCCAATTCTTTTTGATACAGTGACTCTATTCCTTCCATCTTCTTCTGATGCTTCCAGAGTCATTCAATAGTTTGTCTATTTGTTGTTGTTGTTGCTGTTAGGTGCCATTGAGTAGGTACCGAGTCATAGCGACTCCATGCACAACAGAATGAAACATCAGCTGGTCTTGCGCCAACCTCAGAATTGTTGATACGCCTGAACCCATTGCTGCTGCCACTGTATCAATCCATCTCGTGGGGATCTTCCTCTTTTCTACTGATCCTCCACTTTACCCAGCCTGATGTCCTTCACCAGGACTGGTCCCTCCAGATGATATGTTTGAAGTATGAGAAACGAAGTCTGACCATCATGGCTTCCAAGGAGCTTTCTGATTGTACTTCTTCCAACAATGATTTGTTTGTTCTTTTGGAAGTCCCTAGTACTTTGAATATTCTCCTCCAACACTATAACTTAAATGCATCAATTATTGTATGGTATTCCTTATTCATTGTCGAACTTTCACATGCATATGAGGTTATTGAAAACACCATGGTTTGGAATGTATGAAGTATGAATCTAGGAAATTTTGAAATTGTCAAAAATGAAATGTAATGCATAGACATTAGTAAGTTGAAATGGACTGGTATTGGCCATTTTGAATCTGACAATCACATGGTTTACTATGCCAGGAATGACAAATTGAAGATAAATGATGTTGCATTCATCAAAAGGAACATTTCAAGATCTGTCTTGAAGTACAACACTGTCTGTAATTGTTATTGATAATACCCATGCGCCTACAAGGAAGACAAGTTAATACAACTATTATTCAAATGTACACACCAACCACTAAAGCCAGTGATGATGAAATTGAAGAATTTTACCAACTTCTTCAGTCTGAAATTGATCAAACATGCAATCAAGATGCATTGATAATTACTAGCAATTGAAACACAAAGGTTGGAAACAAAGGATTTTGTCCAAAGATCCTCCAATATTGCAGCCTTGAATTTTTTCTTCAGTTCTTTCAGCTGAGAAATGAATGCTGAATGTATTCTTTCCTTTTGGTTTTCTAACTCCAGATCTTTTCACATTTCATTATACTATTTGACTTCATCTCCTTGGGTTGCCCTTGAACATTTTCTGTTCAGCTCTTTTATTTCATCATTCCTTCCCATTGTTTTAGCTTCTCTATGCTCTGGTAGCTCTGGTAGCGTAGTGGTTACAAATCAGGCTGCGAACCTTAAGGTCAG